TTTAAAATTGTTAACAAAATGCAAACGGGACGGCTTTTTAATTAAAAAATAACGAAAAACAAAGGAAAATTTTTTAACCAAAAAACGAATAAGCAAATTACGAAAATTTTGTAACAAAAAAACGTTAAACTTTTTTAAATCCGCTTTTAGGATAAACCATACTTTACAAATCCAAATTTCGCCCTTTTCGGCCTTAACAAAATAACGGAAATAAAGGGAATAAATAAATGCCGGGCCGTTAATAACCCAACGGCATTTAATAATACCGCGGTTACCAATTCCAATTTTGCCAATGCACTAAATTACAAAGCCCTTTTTTTTTCCCTTTAATTTACCTTTATTTTAACCGCTTGCATTTTAGCCAACCCAATTTGGCTTTACACCGGTACCGTTTAACCTTTTTGCAACCGGAATTACGTTTACTTTTAGCTAGCCAATTAACGATAATAACAACGTATAAAATTAATTATATTATATTAAAATATGGAAAAAAGGCAAAAAAAAAAAAAAGCAATTTTCCTTTTTATAGCGATAAATAATATAATATTTTAATTATTTAAAAGCCGGAGCGTAATTAGCACGGAAACTTTTTGAAACCGTACGGTTGCAATTACAAATTTATTTATTACCAAAAATTTAATTTTAACGCAACATTTTACGTGCATAACCGTTTCGCCCCCAAATCGTAAACCGCCCGGTGCGGTTATAATTGGGCTTTAATTACAATTATTACGCCGAAAAGCTTATTAAAAATATATTTAATATATTTTTTAAATTTTAAAGCAAGCCTTAATTAAGTAACGTTTTTTATTATAATTACTATTTACTTAACCCAAAAATATACAATCCTTACAAGCAATTTTAACTTTTATTATTTAATTTGGAATTTATACAATAAAAATAACGCAAAAAACAAAACCTTTTTGGAATTAGCACGCCGCAAACAATTTAAATTGGCAACGCTTTACGGGAAAATTACGAAAAGGAAACGAAAGGAAAAAAATAGCACAATTAATTACGCTTGGGTAACGCAATAATTCGAAATAAAATATTTAGGATAAAACAATACGATAAAAAAGTTTAACCATTTGTTTTAAATATTTCGCGTTTTTTTTGGACCGTAGCAATTCCAATTTTAATAAATTAAAAGCTAAAAATGAAAAAACGTTAAATTAATAAAAAAATTAGCAAAAGTTAAAACCGAAATGGCCAGCAAATTAATAACGATTGGGGATATGCATAACGCCGAAGCCATAAACAAAAAAGCTAACAAATTAATGCAATAATTAACCCAATTTGCCAACTAGCTGGCTTTACAACGGAAACCAAGCCATTTTAACAAACGCGCTTTTTACTGGATACAAAAATTTAACAACTTTTGTAAAAAAGCAAGCCGTTTGCAACGCGCTTTTATTAAAAATAAAACGTAAATAGCATAAAAAGCGTATAAAGCCGCGAACAAAGCATTTGTTAAAAAAAAACGCTAAATAATGTTTAACCATTAAAAAAGCGTTATTTTCGTAACGGGATAAAATACCAAAAAAAACGGCGCATTTTAGAAATTCGAAAAATTGGCCCGTTTAAAAAGCTTTTAAAAAAAAACCCGAACCGGTTACCAAATTTAATTAAAATTAAAAAAACCCGAATACGCTTTGCAATTATTAAAAAAAAAAGCCGAAATTTTATTATTTAAGTTTTTTCCAAACCCGTTAATTAACATTTTTAATATTAACGAAATCGAATTTCCGAACCACTTTTTCCCAAACCCTTTCCAAATGCCTATTTTCGTTACCCCGTAAAACATTATGGAAGCAACGGGCCGTACCAAACCGTAAAAAGCTACGGGTTAAAACCATTTTTCGAACGGGCTATTTAAAGCCGCCGGATTGCCGGGCGCAACCGCTATCGCAAAATTTGCTAACGCAATAATCGTTACAAGTTATTTCCTAAAACGCTTTAAAAAGGCTTTTACGGTAATATTACCCAAACCAAACAAAATTATCGTAAAAAAAAAACAAATTAAAAAATAAAAGTTTATCGTTTTGTTATTATTAATTTTAAAAGTTATTAAATTAATTATAACGAAGTAAATTGCTAACGAAACGGAAAAAAAAGGCATTTTTTCCAACGGCTAAATGGGCAACTAACGGGTTAAAAGTACGGAATTGGCAATTTAAAAAGTAAAGGAAACGGTAATTGCAATATGGAATTACGGCGTTACCGCGTTGCTATTACAATTTAACTTATTCGAAATATTCGATACCGTTAACCATTTCCAATTGCTAAATACGCTAAAAAAATATAGCTTTTTTTTATTAATTATAAAATGGGTAAAAAAGTAGTTAGCAAATAAAACGGCCATTTTGCAATTTAACGGCAACATTTCGAACCCAATTTTAATTCGAACCGGAATTTCCCAAAAAAATATTTATTTTTTATATTTTTTATTATATATATTGCATTATTATATAAAAATTTTAAAAGCATTTTAAAAATTTTCGTTACCGGTTTTGCTAACAATACTAACCCATTAATAATAAAAAATACCGTAAAAAATATGGCCCGCTTTTTAAAAGCAGCTTAGCCAAAATGCAAAGCATAAACAACCAAATACGGTATAAAATTTAACAATACCAAAATCGAATTAATCCATTTTAGCAAAAACGAAGATTTGCCCGTAATTTAATTCGGCGATACAACGGTAATTTTTAGCCAAACGGTTAGGTTTTTTGGGGTTTGGCTAAACGTTCGCTTTAATTTTAAAAAATATATTAAAAAAGCAAAAAGCAAGCAAAAAAAGCAATAATTAATATTAATTCGATTTATTTCGTTAACGTAAAGCAATATATTTGCAAAAAAAAAGCTTTTTTATAACGTAATATGCCGTACGGCTTTGGCATACGGCGCAATAGCTTTCCATATAGCTATACCGGCAACGGGCCGCCCCAAAAGCGCCGTTAAATAATTTTAAAAAAAATAACGCGCGTATTTAAAAATTATTGCCGGGGCTTACAAAGCCATTTTGCTAACCAATTTCGAAATTAAATGCTTTACTTCCCCAATCGATTTGTATTTAAACGAAAAAGTATTAAAAGCAAAAAAAAAATGGGAAAAATTTGGAATAAAAAACGTAATCCGGACCGGTACCAATAAAGTGCAGCAATATTTTCGATAATTGGAATATTGTAAAAAAACAAAAGTATTACACCCATTTAGCTTGGCAAACAAAAATTGGTAAGCGCAAAAATGGAACCCGTTGGAACCTTTTGGATTTAAGCTTGGCCCCGCCCCGGCAATTACCTAAAAAGCAACCAAAACGAAAGTTAATGCCAAAGCACAAAAATTAACGAACCGAAAGCAAAAAAAAAAAAAAAAAAAAATTTAAAATCGAATAAAACGTTAAATGCAAAAAAATCCGCGTTATAGCAACGAAAGCAAATTTATTCCGGTTTGCAACCCCCGCGGATAAACCCAATTTCGACGGTTTAATGCTAAAAATATACCAAAAATTTATTAAAGCTTAAAGCGCGATAGTTATTTAATTAAAAACGGAAAAATTGGGATTAAAAGCGTTTTTTTAAAATAAAAACGTTTTCGATATGCATACGCCCCGTTGCCCGTATAAAACCGGGCAACGGGAAATAGCATTTTATTTATTTGTTAAATGCTTTTTTTATGCTAAATGGAAAATAAATTTGGGCTAAAAAAATATAAGCTACCGTAAAGCGTATTTCGAACGATAATAGCAAAAAATAAGTACTATTACCGGAATCGATACGGACCAAAACGGCCCCTTTTTGCCCCCCTTTTTTTTATTAGCAATACGTTTAGCAATTAGGATAAACAAATTTAACGATTTTAAAATGGTAAAAAAAAATAACCAATTAAAAACGCAAATATTAAAAAAACGAGCCGTTCCAAATAAATAACCCAACGCCGAATTAATAACCGGATATAATTATTTTAACCACCAACCCAATATGAAAAAACTACGATTACACGCCCAATTATACCCAACAACATTTAGCAGCAAATTTGGAAACGAATTATTGCTTTATATGTTTTAGCGCGTGCGGATCCTTTCCCGCGCCATTTCCAGCATTTGGTTAAAAAACGTTAAATTGTTTTTATTATTACTTTGCTTTACAACCGCTATATTTAATTGCTTATATAAATTAAAAAGTATAAAAGCAATAAAAACAATATTACTACCAAAAAAGGACCGGCATTTATTAATTGCTAAATTTGCGCAAAAGCAAGCTTTTTAACCTTTAAATCGTTAGCGATTTCCGCAGCATCGTTAGTACGCAATAAAGCGTTAAAAGCTTTTAAAGCGTAAAAAGCAAAGGTTTAAAGCATTAACATTATATTGCCGGAAAGGAACCGTACGAATTTCGAACTAGCAATACCGGTACTTATAAAAACCCCGGCGCCAAAAAGGGAAGGCATCCGGAAACGGTTAAAAGTAAAACCAATATCGGTAAGTACCCCGAATTTGTTAAACCCGTTTTTATTAGCACGCCGGAACGTATAAACCTTAGCAACCAATGCGTTGTAAGCCGTTTAGCACCGCATTATACCGTTAGCAAATTAATAAAGCATAAAAAGCCGATAAAATTAAAGCAATTTACCAAATATTTGCGGCAATTATTTAACCCGAAATTGCGCATGTTTTTAGCTTTAAAAAGCGATTAGTAATATTTAGCAAAAAGCACGGCCGCAATACGAGCTTTTTTAATGGCAACGGGGTAAAATTAAAAAAAAATACGTTAATAACCCGGTTAAATAACGGAAAGGAAAAAGGAAAAAACGATTTACCGTATTATACCGGATATTTTAATTGGTACAAAAATAATAAAATAATGCGTTTATATTTGGAAAAACCAGCAAATTAACAAACAAAAAAATTACCCGGAATTATAAAAAAAACGAACCAATTTTAAAATAACAAATCGCAATTTTGCTAAACCGTTTTTTCCCGTTTTGCTTTTTACCCGAATTATTAAGCAAGCAATTAAAGCAATTTACGCAAATGTTACGCGCAAAATTAAATAATTAGCTAAAACGCAAACGGGAAAAAAACGAAAAAAGCATTTACGTTATTTAATAATAAAACAAAATGCTTTTAAGGATTTTCGTTAAAGCATTTATCGTTTTACGGGTTATAAATTTGTATTGTTAAACGAAAAAATTAAATTAAAATAAAAAAACGAAAACGATTTGGCGATAAAAGGATAAAAAAAAACAAATTATGTAATTAACGTTAACCCGCGCGTTGCCGCCGTTATTATTGCTAGCGTTAAAAAAACCGTTATTGTTATCGAGCATTTTTACCGGGGGAATATAAAGAATAAGCCGGGCAGGAAAAGCGTTAAAAACGACGGGATCGGAAAAAGGAAAAGCAATAATTACCGCCCGATTATTATTACGAACGTTATTACCGCCGCGGTTACCGCGTTTGGCAAAATTGGCTTTGGCCGTGCTTTTTTTTTTAAAAAAAAAGCCGTTAATTAACATTGCAACCAATTAAAATTAAAAGTAAAATTAAAAATGGCCGGAAACGAAAAGAAAAAAATATAACCAAGCGCCGGAAATAAAAAGCGCGTTGGAAAAAATTGGAACGATAAAAATTAACCAAAAGCGATGCGATAAAAAGGTAACGGTTAAAAAAGAAAAAGCATTGCATTAAAAAAAAAAAAGCTAAAAAAAAAGGTAAAAAAAAGGGAAAAAAAAAGGAAAAAAAATGGAAAAAGGAAAAAAAGCAAGCAAAACAAAAGGAAGGTACCGGCGAAAAAGCAACCTTTTTAAACCCGCCCAAAGCCATTACGCCGGCGAAAAAAAGCACGATTACTTTCCAAACATAATTATTTACCCTTAACAAAATTACAAGCACCCGGATGGTAAATATAAAAAGTACCGTTACCCCAACGAAAGCAACCAAGCACCGGGCCAATAAAAATACGTACAAAAACGTTAATAAAAACGACCGCCGATACCCAATTATATAAAAGGAAATAACGATAAAGGACGAGCTATATTATACCGAATACAAACCGCACCCGGAAGCATAACGCGGGGCCGGAAAGCGCAAAGCATTAACCTTACGCAATAACCACCCGGCTAGCTAAGCTTTTGCTTATTAACGGCAATTGCCGGAGCCACCCCAAAGCAATAGCGCTTTTTTAAAGCTACATTTTTTATACGTTTTTTTTATAATTTTTCCATATATTAACCCTTACTTTTACTTTATTATTACACCCTTTTGGCCGGGGGCACAAAAACGCTTTTTTGCCGAAGCATTTATTAGTAATTAAACGAATTACAATAAACGGAGCCGGCGGTTTAATACCGACCCGGCACCGGTTCGTAAGCGCAGGGTTTTCTTTTTTAAGCCAAACCTAAGGGTTTCCCCTACGCAACACTTAGCAATAGCATTAAGGTTTTTTTTATAAACAAAATAAAGTATAAATAAATAAAATAAATAATTTTAAAAATATATTTAAATTGGGCTTAAGCTTTATTAAAGCGTTAATATGTAAAGCAAAAAGTAAATTGGAATAATTATTAAAGTTGCTTTAAACCATTTCGTATATAAAATGCTGGGTTAATAGTAAAGCAACGGCATTCCGTAAAAGCGTTGCTATTAAGCGCGAAAAGCCCGTTCCGGGGGCGTTAAATGCGGTAATTTGCTAACAAATTGCATGGTTAAAAAAGCTAAATCGAAAAAAGGGAAATATATTTTCCCGAAATTATACGGCAAAGTTTGGGTTAAGGCGGGTATTAACGTTAAATTAATTGTAAGCGAAAAAGTATGCTACCGTTTTACGGGAGTTTTAGCGGAAATGCATTAATTATTAGCAAAAAAAAACGGAATATAACTAAAAGCAAGCTTACTTTTTAATTAATATTGGGTTCCGAAAATTTAAAGTGCAATAAATTGCTACGGTGCATATTTTGGTATTATGGAAAAGGCTTTATTGTTGCACGAAAAGGAAGTTATTTAAATAAAGCGCTTTTGGCGCTTTGTTGTGGCTTTGTAAGCGTAACGTTGGCGCGCTGGAAATGCGGCTTTAGGTTTTTTCCTAAGTGTTTTAACGCGTACCGTAACAGCAAGCGCAAGCTTTTTACATATATTATTACCCTTTTTTTTAAAAAGCAATTGCATTAAAACTAACGCGGGTGCGTTGCAACGTTACGGAATGTAACCAACATTTAATAGCTAACCTTTTTTTAATTCCGTATTTTACGATACTTATAATAGCTATTATATGTATTTATACGCTATTATGTTTATAAAAAAAACCTTAATGCTGCGGCTAAGTACATGCAAATGGGGGAAACCCTTTGGGTTAAGCCTAAAAAGGAAAAACCCTATGCTTGCGTTCCCGCTTTTCTGGCGGTGCGCTTCCGTAGCGGTATTAAATCGCTTTGGTTAACGCTTACTTTTTTCCACGCTCGATTGCTCGTAAAGGCTTTACCCGGAAATTAACCGTCCTTTTGCGTGCAGCCCCTTTTGCAAAAGGCCGATAAAGCCGCGTCCTATTTGTTTGTAATTGGTTGGTTAGTTCGTTATTCGATTTGCCAAGCTAGCCCTTTTGCCGGAAAGTTACAAATTGGGTTTATTTCGGTTAAAAGGGTCCTTTGCCGGTTTTTTTGCTTAAGCTTGTCCAAAGCGTTTAAAGGGCCCTTTTACGCATTTAACTTGGTCCTTTTAGCACCCGGCCCTTTTTTTTCCCGTTACCGTTTTATTGGCTTAGCCTTTTGCGTTTTGGGCTATTTGGGGCGGTAAGGTTGGGATTGGGGCTAAAAGCTGCAAAAGGGTTAGGGTTTGTAGCTAATATTTAAAAAAAAAAGGGATGGTAATCGAATTCGTCGGTTTGTGCGTGCGCTTGTCGGGGGTAAGGTTAGGCCCTTCCAAAAGCTTTCCCGTTACCTTTTCTTTAGCTTAACCTTTTGCATTTTGGGCCTTTAAAATAATGCGAAAAGGGTTAGGAAGGGTTAGGGTTGGAAAGGTTGGAATCGAATTAATTATTAAAATTATTAATTAATTGTGCGTGGGTAAAAATTAATTCGGGCGAAGCCCGTTAGCGGGGCGGCCCCTTTCTTTTTCCGGCCCAGCAAAGCGGGCGGCTAAAGAACAAAAAGTCCTTTGTGGTTTTAACGGGATTCGAACCCGTGGTTTTGGCGGAACCGGCCTAGTGCAGAGCCACTGCACCACGAAGCTTTATAATAGCTATTATAAATTTAAAAGTAATTACGTAACAAATTAACGGAATGGAAAAAATAATGGTTTTTTAAAAAGTACGAATTAACAATTGCATTGGAAAATTATTTAACGAGCTCGAGCATTTTTACGTATCCAATTAATTTAGCAAGAAAACCCCGGCAAGCACGCCCGTAGCAAGCGCCGAAAGAAAACGCAAATTTAAGCTTTAAAAATAAATAAACGTTGCGTTTGTTAAGGGCATAAAAAAAAGCGGGTTAAAATTTTTGCTATAGCTTTAACCGTTTAAAAAAAATCGCGGTTAAGTGCAAATTAATTTGTAATTATACGTTATAAAATTATAATTAATACATAAAAAATTAAAAGCTAAAAGGGTTGTTAAACGGCCATTTTTATGTTGCTAAATATTAAAATCCAATTTTAAATGCAAGCATTTGCAAACCGTAACGGTAAAAACATAACGTTTAAATTAAATATTTTTATAAAATACCCTTACCATATTTACAAAAACTTAAAGCGTATTAAATTTATCAAATAAAAGCTTTACAATTTTCGTTAAAGCTTAATCCCGTTCGTAAAATATTATTTTAAATTCGAAGTGTTAATGTAAACCGCAAAAACGGATTAATTTAATGCTATTTGCATTTTAACCCAATATTTAATTGGCTTTTTAATTAAACGAAAAATGCTAACCATTAATTACAAATAAATAAAACGCGTTTTGGTATTAATTGCCGAAAAAAAAGATATACGTTGCGTTTTAAGCAGGGCTTGGAATTTAATTAAAAGTTATTAATTAAAGGTATACCTTTTTTTTAGTTAAGTTAATTAAAGTTAACGGGATATATATATATATTTATTTACCCCGGCCTCGTGGTGCAATGGCTCTGCACCAGGCCGGTCCCGCTAGGACTACGGGTTCGAATCCCGTCGAAACCACAAAGGACTTTTTGTTTTTTAGCCGCCCGTTTTGCTAAGCTGGAAAAAGAAAGGGGCCGCCCCGTTAACGGGCTTTACCGGAGTTAATTTTTACTTACGCACAAGAAACCAATAATTCCAACAATTAATCCGATTCCGACCCTTTTTAACCCCGACCCTTTTTAACCCCAACCCTTTCCAACCCCCCCTCGCACCATTTCGGAAGCTTAAAATGCAAAAGGTTAAGCCAAAAAGGAAGTAACGGGAAAGCTTTTGGAAAGGCCCAACATTACCCCAACGAACGCACGTACAAACTAACGAATTTAATTACCATCCCTTTTTCTTTTAAATATTAACCACAAATTTTAGCCCTCTTTTTGCAACCCTAACCTTAACCAAATTATTACCGCCCCAAATAGCTTAAAACGTAAAAAGCTAAGCTAACAAAACGGTAACGAAAAAAGGAAAGGCCGGAAGTTAAAGGGGCTTAAGTTAAGTGCGTAGAAAGGCCCTTTAAGCGCCTTGGACAAGCTTGGGCAAAAAACCGGCAAAAAATCCCTTTAACCAAAATGGACCCGATTCGTGGTTCCCCCGGCAAAAAAGCTAGCTTGGCAAATCGAACAACGAACCAATTAACCAACCACAAACAAGCAAAACGCGGCTTTGTTAGCCTTTTGCAAAAGGGGCTGCACGCGGGAAAACGGTTAATTCCCGGGTAAAGCCTTTACGAACAGTTAAGCGAAAAAAAAGTAAGCGTAGCCAAAGCGGTTTGATACCGCTACGAAAGCGCACCGCCAAAAAAGCGGGAACGCAAGCATAAAGTTTTTTTTTTTTAAGCCTAACCCAAAGGTTTTTCCCCCATTTGCATATATTTAACAGCAGCATTAAAGTTTCTTCCATAAATATAATAGCGTATAAATAAATAAATAAATAATTAAAACATTTAACAATTTGTTAAAATAATAACAAATTGTTAAAAGCACGGGCAAAACCGCCCGGCAAAAAAAGGGGAAAGGGGCGCTGGCAGCCAGCCGGGCACGAACCCTTTTAAGGACGTGCCGGCAAATTGCCGGTATTGCGGCCAAAGCATAACGGCGAAGCTAAAAAATGGAATAAAATTTAAATTGCGCGAAAGCGTTTGGAACGCGGGGAATTTATAAAATCAACCCCGCGTGCCCGAAAAAGCACGAAAAAAAGGAAATTTAAAAAAAACAATTACGAAAAAAATAGCACTTTTGGTAAAAAAATTACGAAAGTTTAATAAAAAAAATACCGCATCCGGCCCGTAATTTGGCAATTACCCGCTTTTGCACAAATTAACCTTTAATATATTATTCCTTTTTTTCCATTTTTTTTTTATTAAAAAAACAAGCCCGGGTAATTACCGGAAAGGATTAAGCAAACCCGCGGAAACCATTTGCAACCCCGTACCGCCTATAATAACGCCCGACGCTACGTCGAGCATGTTGGAAAAAGCCGCCGGGCTACCGGAACAAAATACCAAAAAAACCCCGCAAATTTTCAATAACTTCGAAACCCTTTTAATAAAAAAATTGCAAAAAATAAATAACGCGCTAAAAGCTTAAAGCAAACGCGCCCGTTTATTTTAAAAATTCCAAAATAAAAAATCGAAGCACGCGCATAACGGTTTCGATAAAAACAAAAAAAATACTTTTAAGCAACGAAAAGGTTTTACGTAAAGCAAAATTACTTTTAAGCTATTAATGCTTTAAAAAATTCGTAACGTAGCAAAATATCGTTTATTATATTAACAATTACAAATTTATTTTTAACAGCAAAAAAAGGCGTTATAATAAAAACCGTATAAAAGTTTAAATAGCTTTTAATATTTTTAACCATTAACGGCGGGTACAATAAACGAAATATAAGCAAATATATTATACGGATATTCGGTTACCGTTTATTTGGGCCAATTTTTTGCGGTAACTTTAAGCGGGATCGAAAAACCTTAATTTGCAAATATAACAAACAATTAAAAAGCTTGCGGGGAATATTGCTATTAAACAAAAAAAATATAAATTGTTTATAGCATTTTGGATTTGTTAAAATTTGGTAAAAAGCGATTTTTCCGAATTAGCATTTAAATAAACGAAAACGATATTGCTTTTTAACCGTTTCCGCCCCAAAATCCAAAAACGGGTAACGCTTAAAAGCTTTTTTTACATAATAAAAAATTTGCAAACAAAAGCTTTTAAAGCAAAAATAATATCGGAATAACCCAAAAAAACACCGGAAAATACAATATTCCAATTACTAAAAAGCCGGTTACTTGTTACAAATGCGGGTAATTAAGCCACATTACCGCGGCATGCAAAATACGAATAAATAACGCGAAAACCCCAACGGCCCCAACGTTTACCTAAAAAAGGCCCGGTTAAAAAAAAAAGGGAAAAAGCTAAAGGTACGGTATTATAAATGTAAAAAGCTAAGTTATATTTGGCCGGCGTGCTTTAAAAAAAGCAAAATATCGCCGCCAAATTCGATACCGTTATTCAACCGTTCGGGCATTAAAATTTAAAAATGCGCCCCAGCGGTTAAAACGCGCTAAAAAAAACTAAAATGTATTTTAAAATTAACGGTTGCCGGGCAAAATTAAAAGCATTGGTTAACAACGAAAGCAACGTTAACATAATGCATAACCGTTTGCTAATAAAAGCAAAAAAAATACCGGTGCCAAACGGGGGCTATTTAACGTAATTTAATACCAAAAAGCGCATGCTTATATAAGGAAAAAAAAATGCAACACCCAAATAACGGATAGTTAAAAAATAACCCAAAAATTAATGGTAATTTACGTAATAATGCTTTGAAATGGGTACAACGCTACGTTAAATATACTTTAATTTTAACAAAAGGGTATTAAAATCCGGTTTGGGGATATAAAAAGGAAATTCCCGGTAATTACCAAAAAAATTAAAATAATTTCGTTAAAAATAGCTAAAAGCTAATTTAATTGGAATAAACGATAACCGTGCTAACGGTTGCACGCCCAAAAACCCCGAAAACCCCCGGGAAAAAGCTGGAAGCTTTTCCGGAATGGGTTAAAAAAATGGTTGCAAAACATGCGCAATTTTATAAATCGAACTTTTTGCTAAAATATACAAACTAAAATTACGCAATCGAATTGAAAGAAAAACGATGCCACTTTACGAAAGCATTTATCCTTTATCCAAAAAAAAATTAAAAACCTTTCGGGGGTATTTTAACGAAATTATAATAAAAGGTTAAATCCGGCATTTATAATTTCAAATTCCGATTCCGTTAATATCGCTTTTTTATAATTGTTATTATCGGTATTTTTACCCACGTATATTAAAGGGCTTTTTAATTTATGAAAAGTTTTAAGCATTAAATATGTAGAATTCCAACGGGTAATATTAAATTAGCCTTGGTATCCGCGGCAAAAAAAGCATAAAAAGGATACGATACCCGCGATAATTTTTTAATAATGTCCTAAGCAACAGCAGCAAGCAGCAGCAGGCAGCAATGGATTTTACCATTTCTTAACTTTGGAAAATGTTATTTCCCCCACCTTTTAATCCTTTTTTTTCAATTTTCCGATTTGTTTGTTAATAATTACCAATACCAACAATGGTACCAAAAACGTTTTTATTACGCATTTTATTCTCCCCGTTCGAATTTACACTTCCAGCGGGGCCTAAAAGTTTTATACATAAAAGCGCACTAACATTATTTGCGCTAAGCAACTAGTTGGACGAGCTCGAAATAACCAACCCCGGGGTAAGCAATATTCCTTTTCGATTCGCAGCCAAATTTTTTTTTATTTATTTACCTT